CCAAACTTTGAGTGCTATCAGCGATTTTGAAAAATACCAAGGGAAATCAATTACATCAGTGTTGTAGTAACTTTTTATATTCCCTCACTGTGTCATCTCCACTTGTAATGCAGGTGATAGAACAAAAAAAATAAGGTAGAGGAAACTGTCATCACAGTTCCTCACAGCTTCTGGATATTGTGTTTTAAAGGTTGGAGGTCACAGCATAAGCGACTTCGGTAAAGTTAGAAATATATTCACAGATTCGGCTTTCCCGGATCAATAACTCATCAGCGGAACATTGCTTTCACAAAACCGACACCTCTCTGCAATCACAACAAGATAGACTGCGAGCTACATTCATATTTTCCTTGCATTGGCCTCTATGCAGAGCCGGCTGGTGCTCGAATGTGCAGGGACCGTCTACAAATAGCAACACCGAAAAAATATGATACAGAAATATTCAACAACTTCACCCAGGAGAGGTGTAGTGTCATGAAAATAATTTAACACATATGTGATCTCACGTTTTTCATACTACATTTCTCAGATTGGAAAATAATACTTTTTTAAAAAATGGAGGATTTTTTAATAGCCTATAACTAGCCCAATGTTTAATAAAATCCCTTTTGTAAGGTGTAGGGTGAAGAAAAATCCCATTATAAATTAATGTCCTGCTCTATAAACTACATCACATTGCTTTGGATAAAGGGCTTTCGTGTAATTTCAGTGATTTTTTTATCATTAAATTTGGTAATAAAATAAGTAATAACTGTACTATAACATGTTGTAGTGCCATCAAACTCACAGCACACATAAACCATGTCCTCTTGATTATACTACAATTCTTAGTTTGGTAAAATGTGCTTTAGGTATTACAATTTGCTTCCATATAACTTAAAGGTTTTCTTGATAGGTATAATTATCAATAAAGTCACTATTATAAGTTATAGGGTGACATAAAAATCATCACATATACTCCATATCATGTTGTTTACAAACAGCACTTGGCTTGGGAATTTTGGCTTTCACTCAATTCTGAGGATTTCTTTTATCTACCAAAAACAACATCATTTCTTTACAATTCAGTTATTAGTAGCAGTACTCAGTTTGAACAATAGGGGTATCTTTTAGCCAAAACTATGACACTTAGTTTAGAAACTGTGTTTTTGCATAATTTAAGGGATTTTTTAACATGGATATCATTTAAAAAAAAAGTCACCATTGTAGGCTCTAGGGTCACCGAAAAATGTAATCACACATAAAGTAAATCATGCTTAATGCTTTTATATTATGTGTGCTGTGTGTTTGATGGTACTACAACATGTTATAGTACAGTTATTACTTACTTTATTACAAAATTTAATGATAAAAATCACAAAAATCACATTTATGCACATTTTACCAAACAAAGGTTGTAGTATAATCAAGATGATATGGTTTATGTGTGTTGTGAGTTTGATGGCACTACAACATGTTATAGTACAGTTATTACAGTTACGTGCCGTAGTTTTGTGTGTGTTTGTTTTCTCTCTCTCTCTCTCTCCAGTGTGTGCTCCCCAGGTGTTGCTCCTCAGCCTCAGAGTGCCCAGCCACACCTGTGGCTAATTACTAATCAGGGCAAACTATAAAGAGCAGGAGACAGAAGGCAGCGATTGCCAGTGGGTCGTTGGACTGCGTGTGTCTTTGACGTCAAGAAATTTAGTGTGATCCTTCTGTGGAAGGATTGTGTTCTGATTAAGGCCTTATTGTTCATATCTTGATTGTTAGTTTTGAATTGTGTTAGATTGGCTTCTCTTTTGTTTGGGTTTTTTTTAGAAGAAGCTTGTTTTATGTTGCACATTCTGCTTTAGTTTGTTAATAAATCCTTTTAAACTTTGCTTATATTTAGTTCCGATTTCTTTTCCCTGGGTTATAATTTATTGTTACTCCCCTCATCCCTAGCCATCTTGGGAACGTAACAATAACTTATTTTATTACAAAATTTAATCGCAAAAATTACATTTATGCACATTTTACCAAACTAAGAGTTGTAGTATAATCAAGAGGAGATGGTTTATGTGTGCTGTGAGTTTGATGGCACTACAACATGTTATAGTACAGTTATTACTTATTTTATTACCAAATTTAATGATAAAAAAATCACTGAAATTACATGAAAGCCCTTTATCCAAAGCAATGTGATGTAGTTTATAGACCAGGAGGACATTAATTCATAATGGGATTTTTTTTTACCCTACACCTTACAAAAGGGATTTTATTGAACATTGGGCTATTTATAGGCTATTAAAAAAATCCTCCTATTTTTTTTAAGTATTATTTTCCAATCTGAGAAATGTGGTATGAAAAACGTGAGATCACATATGTGTTAAATGATTTCCATGACACTACACCTCTCCTGGGTGAAGTTATTGAATATTTCTGTATCATATTATCGTCTCCCCCTGCAATTGCTTGGCCATTCATCATTCAGGATGCAGCTTTGTTCCAGATCAGCTCGCTTCTGTGCCTCACGCTAATTATAGCCTTTGGATTGTTTGCGTGTGATAATTGTTATAAACTGCACTTGTTATAATGGATTCTTTCTTTAGCAGTTTTTCACCTCGGACTGGGCCAAATATTTATGTTCGGATCTCACATGCACTCAGTTTAGTATTATCTGTCTGCCAGGGCGCACTCAGTCTAGGAAATCAGTACCGTGCTCAAGCATGCTTCACCCTCAAAGTCCAGTTCATTTGACGAGTGCGAGTGCTCCGATCCGTGCTCAAGCACAGTACACTTTCTTAACCCTGGTAGCTTGGAAAAGATGTGGTTCGGCATGGTTACAGTACGTGCACGAGCACAAGCTCAGGCAAGAAACATGGATAGCCTTCTATTATCGAGAAATCCCGGAGTGTTATGGCTTTATCTGTCTAAAATGACTCAAAATAAGCCATAAAGTCAGTAAATGCAGTCATACAGGCGCGGACTTGACCAGGCATCCCTTTTTTATTTTTTGAGTCTGCCCGGCTTGTAAACTAAGCACCTTTCATGATCACGTAAAGCCATGCATGTGTTTTATTGCGATGTTATGTAGACTACAAGAGGTAACCGTGCTCAGGCCCGGTTAGTCCTGGAGCAGTGAGTGCAGGCCAGTGGGGGAATGGGGAGGGAGGACAATCGGGGTATTGGACAACTAGGCCTAGTGTGAGCGCGCCCTTAGTTGCAATAGGTTTAGGGGTGTGGTTCTTTAGTTGTTTGATGTGGTTAGTTTGGATTAATTAAGTTTTTATTTGATTTGGTTTGACTTCAGAGAGTTAATCATTCTGAGTAAAGTGTGTTCTTGTTGTTATATTGATTTGAGCCCTGTCTTTTACACTCTGTTGCACAATTTAACTCCATTGTTAATAACTATGCTATCGCCCACAGAGGGGTGGTAACAGAGGTAAACATTTATATAAATATAGTTTATAGAAGAAGTCAGGTCAGTTCCACACTTGCTTTATTTATTACAGTGGAAATTCAAATGTTAAACATCAAGAGGATACAGTTATCTTACCAGATGCTGACAAAAATGATATATCGTCATTTCATCTGGCAGCGGAGAAGGAGCTTGTTTGTTTTTGTTTATTTTGCACAGCTCATATGAAAGCCTGTAAAATATCACTTCTAGGTGAGAACTGCAGAGTGTGCAGAGGATGTGCTGTGTTGTGAAAAGTAATGAGTGTGTGGAGAAAAGAAACAGTATAAAAAAAACAAGGACAGTATGTGGCATGTACCATAGAGGGGAATATGTTTTCTCTCGAGACATACGGCTGCCTCAGCTGGAGATCTTATATTACGGCTGTGATAAGTGGTTTTATTCTCAGTTCACTTCCTTTTGTTTCTCACTTTTATTGGATTGCTCCCTTGCTGCCTCCTCACCCCCATGTGTGCTTGTGCCATTACTTTTTTATTACTGCCTAATATTTCTCTGGTCTAATCTGGTGTTTGTACTCATACCAATGCACACAGGCACAATCAAAACCAACTACAATGCAGGGGATATTCAATGATTGTTGTTTTAAAAAAAAATCCAATTCATATCCAAGCACTTTTTCATGGATTAACGGGAAGAAAAAAACATTTAGAGTTTTTCACTTTTTAAACAGTTTAGCATCCATGGTAATATGACAGTGTTTTAGCTTTGTTTGAGCTATATCAATTAAAATTAAAATATATCAATACAAATGTATCAAGTAGGTGAGGAGAATGTGTACAATGTGTAAAACAGTTTTCATGTAAGAAGTTGCTTTTCTAGCCCCAAGTAAAAATGTTGTTCAGCAGATATGTCTCTGTTCGTCTTTATTTAACAGTACTGTAAGTGACAGTCATGTGTTTTGATTTTGAGGTTATCCAACAGAACAGAATTACCTGCATTTGCATTTTGCAAACAGACTTCTCTCCATCTATGAGTTTTTTATCTAGAATAGCACACAATTCAAATGTGTTTCTGTTCTAATATTCATTTAAAATGATTACAGACCAGCTTAATAAAGGCCCAACAAGAAGAGTGATGATTCTCTCTCTCTCTCTGACTATGTTAACTGAGCACGCTTCATAATAACATAAAGCATGCATGCATTGTATTACGACATTATGTACAAGAGGTAATCGTGCTTAAGCACGGATAGTTCTGTTTAGTGTCATCGAGGGCCGTGCCAGCCAGCGTGGGATTAGCGCAGTGGGGGTCCAATCGTGCTTGAGTACGGCAAGTAACAGATGGCCAGTGTGACCGCGCCCTAACATGACACCCTATGGGAGAGACGAGGGCGGGAAACCTCTCAAGACTTCTTTTTCTGCAAATCAAGACACATACTGTATTGATTCAAATAACTAAATGATTTGAAAAATATACATGACATAACTAAATAGGATACTGTTGACAACTGCTTTAAAATCTGATTAACTCTGTAAAAGAATGTAAAAAAAAAAAAGATTTTGTATTTTAGAGGATTTCATGTCTTCCTGGTTGGGACTAGCTGTAACCCAAAAACATCGACTGTCTGTAAAGCCTTTTATTTAAAGGTCCCAGAGAGAAAGCAGTAAAGGCAGAAGGTACAGAGTACACAAGACCGCGCCTCGCAAAACACATCTTCTGCAGATCCAAAGAAACACAAAACCACTGTAAAAAAAAAAAACTCCATAGACAAATGGGCATATGTGCTTCAACTTAAAGACAAACTTGTTCTGGTGTTCAGAAAAATGTTTTAAAAAAAAGTTTATTGATGAAATATTCAGAGAACAAATAGAGATATGAAGTTTGCTGTCTAAAGTGAACAATAGAAGCTTTCCACACAACAAGGTGTTTTTATCCAAAGCACAGCACCGACTGCACCGTTCATGTCAGAGAGTCTGAGAAACACCAGCGAGTTTCTTACGCTGTGTGAATGTCGGATGAGAAAGAAAAAAAAGAAACAGGAAAAAAAATCATCATAATCCCATGAGAAATTTGTCAGGCCAGTGTCTGAGTTGGTGTCAGATTACTTCAGATTGTGGTTTGTCGACTGAAGAGATCAAGAGTCACAGCTGAGAGGAATGCTGGGAGGCTCTTCTGGTGATGCAGATGAAGCGCCACCATCTCATCCAGAGTTTTGGAGAACTCGGTTTCCATGAGCTGCATACTGCCATTGGAGCTCTGCACACACACACACAACAAACATATAAAATCATAAACACACAGACATCAAAAATCAACGCACAATATCAAAGAATAACAGTCAGGTTTCCCACTTCTTCTATCTCCACAGGCAAACTTTCAAAGTGAAGCAAGATCACTTAAAGTTATTGTCCACAGGGGATTGTCAAGTGTCTGTTGTGTTGTGTTTGTGTGTGTGTATTCACAGCAGGGTGAAGGTGTCTAAATCTGTGTGGATTAATTAAAAGGAATGAGGAGCAGCTCGGGGCAGTGGAGTGAAGGAGAAAGGGATAAGGAGAGAAACGAGGGATGAAGTAATTAAAGCATCGCAGGGAGGGAGGAAGGTAGCGAGAGAGGAGCAGAGTCCCAAGACACGCCGGGAAGATATGGAGACGTCTGACAAATGTCCTGTGTCAATGTGTGGAAGAGAAACAGATCTTTTATTCGATAATTATCTGGAGGAGGCTTATGGAACAGCTGGTGAAGGGAAAATAGAGATTAGAGGACAAAAGAAAGAATGGAAGAAGATTAACAGAGAGATTTAATGCTGCACTTTGTTATTTTCCTACATGGACACTTTAAATATGAATATTAATTCTGAAAAATCAGCATTTTTGTTTGGAAATCTGATAAACTTCAGCAGTCCAACATTGGGACATATAGATGATGCAAGCTAAAAAAAAAAGAAGTAAATCCTACTTGATAAACCAATTAGTGTGCTTCCTCACACACATCCGGATGAGGTGAGCTCAGCTGTTCACTTTTGTGTGAACATCCACAAATCTCTAAAGGGTGACAGGAGGGGATAACTGAACTAATGACATTTGCAAGCTGACTGCACAATGCTAAACCTGCGGCTAAAAGCAGAGGAGAGAGCTTGAGAGAATTTCTTCAGAATGACTTGCTCTTTTTTAAGTTGTATTTTTTTTCTGAGCAAAACGTACAAAAAAAAAAAGTAGCCGACATTACAGTAGCTTCAAATCGAAGCTGACGTCAAGCTAGAGAGCCGCTGAGAAAAGTTTTTGGGTTTAATTGATTGAAAGCAGCGGACGTTCATGTTCTTCTACACTTCAAAAAGACTTCATCTGGTTCATCTGCTGGAATTTCTTTCAAATAACAAGAGTAGTTGAGTCATGTTGCTTTAATAGAGCCCTCTTACAGAGAAACTCAATATTACTTACTTTTTCTTTTAGTTAGAATAACATACAACTGGTCCCTATATCGTCATCCTGCAGTATATTTGACCATAGCAGTCGTCTTGCTTTGCATTCAGGAGAAAAAACAGTATTCCCCCCCCCCAAAAAAAAGAGAAGATCTTAGACATCTTTCACACTGAGCCACAGGAGTATAAGCAAAATCATATTCACTCTGATGTGGGCCATGATATCAAGTCTTGTATCTAAAAAAAAAAAAAAAAAAAAAGGCATCACATCACCCAACCCTCAGATGTTGGAGATTTTGTCTAGGGAGCTGTGGGAATGAATGAGAAGGGGGGGGGGTTGAGCTAATACTTGAAAGAAGTTGCTGTGTGATAACATTAATTTTCTTCATACTGCCTAAAGAGGAAGTGGATCAGTGGAATGAGCTTTACTTTGTACATTTTTTCAAGCAATTGTTGTTTCTTTAAGTAAACAGCTGATGGACAAAGGCAAGAGGGAAAAAAAAAAAGAGAATGACACTCAGCAAAGGTCTGCAGCTGGATTTGTCATGGTTACCTCGTAAACGACTTCCCCTATCAGACCCCTGTGATATCCTGCCATGGTGGTGTTTTCATGTTTAAATTTGTATTCCTGTCTTTACGGTAACTGGCTCATTTTGGAAAATGTATCAGATGTAAAAGTATTAAGCATTAAAGGCAGGGCTTCCATAGACATGTGGAATAATAATAATAATGTATTGAATTATATAGCACCTTTTAAGGGACCAAAGATTCTTTACATGGTGGAGGGACCAAACAAAGAACTAAATCAAAACAAAACCTGAGACATGTAGCAAAGGATGGGAGATGGAGAGAAAGATTTGAGGGAGGTGGTAGGCCTGTTAAGTACAGATGGTGTTTGAGAAGTTTTTTCAATGAGTCCAAAGATGGGGCATTGAAGATGTCTGAGGGGAGGGTGTTCTAAAGGGCGGGGCCGTGACACTGAAGGCCCTGTTCTCCATAGGTATGGACAGAAGGCCAATGTCTGAGGACCAGAGGTTTCGGACGCGGTGTGTGGGTGTAGGAGGTCAGAGAGGTACAGAGGGCGTGGAGGGATTTACAAGTAGTCAGCCAGTTGGAAAAAGTAGCCAGCAAGTGGGGTCCAGGGCTTGTGGAGAGCCCTGATTAAAGGCTTACTATGAGACTATCAGATTTCATATCAAAACACAAATCCTCTTTTCAGACACACCTCCTTCATCCCTGAAGTGAAAGAGACACCGGCCCTTTCCAAATAGCCACAGCTCAGTAGGTAGTACGAACTTTTCAGTAGGGAGTTTCAGTATATTGAACTTCGTGGTCATTCAGTATGCATTTTGTGGGTCCACCTCAGTATACTGAACATTTCAGTATGGATACTAACTTCCGGGTTTCATGCAGTATGGATCGGATGCGTGCTTTCAGGAAATGAATTGTATTTTACCACCCACAATGCTGTGCGAAATTAAACGTAAATCATCACTTCATGTGCGCCTCCAAATCAAAACAAACGAGCGTGGATTAATTTAATCTTAATCTAAAATCCCGACTGAAATCGCTACTTTTAATTAGAAAAATACAATACAAAATACAATTAATCAGAAAATACAACAAATGTCTGCATTATTATAAAACCTTTCCCCCTCTACATAAATAATGATTTCACTATTTAAATGCGTCTTTATTGCTTTATATTCCGTATATTACGTCTTTCATTTGTACTTTCCTTTATGTACTGTGTGTTATTTAGTTATTTAATCTGTATTTTACTTGTGATATTGTTTTATGTTTACCTGACTGTATATGCGCATTACTCTTCCTGAATAAAGTTAAACAAAAACAAAAAAAACAAAAAAACGGGTGAATGCGCCCAGTTCGGGTAACGTAAATGACCCCACTTCCAAGTAGGAACAAATATCTGCCTACTGTGCGCGCCTACTGAATAGTAGGTACTAAACAGTATACAGCGCGGATAGTAGGTACTGCCTACTGTCTACTGACAGATTGAGTAGGTACTTGGCAATTCGGATGCAGCCACCGAGTGCCTTTATACAAAATAATGGATCTTACAATAAAAAATAAAAGATCTTAGAAATCAACACATTTTTTTTTTTAAGATCTTTAGACTACTTTGTTTTGACATCCATTGATAAAAACATGCACATGACTTGAATGGACCTACTTTTACAGTGGCAAATAAAACACATTCTTTTTCAAAATCCATCTCGTTCAGACACTTTCAGCTGACTTCTTCAGACACAGAAACACTTATTTCCACTTAGCAGGCGTGTTTCAGTAAATATATCAGGACACCTCACAACAACACCTTTCTGGTAACATCTTCAGGTATAACTCTTCACATGTGGCAAACCAAACTCTAATAACTTCTTCAGTCTATCACTAACCCTTTTCACACATACAGAAATGTCCTGAAAAACCCAGGAGATTTGGCTATTTGGATTTGGTTTCTCCGGCCAGACCCCTAGTATTTTTTCCGCAGAAAGTCCGAGTGAGCTGATGTCTGAACGCGGCGGCATACATATATATATATATATACATACATATACAAACATATATATATACACACATATATATATATATATATATATACACATATACATATATACATACATATATATATATATATATATATCTATATCTACGGAGATTTCAACTCGAGCCAATGGGACCCGAGTGACGTTTATATACAGTGACTGCCTAAAGTGTCTTCACGTGACCACCACGATCTCTGTGCACGTAATTAAACGGCTGCATTATGTTTTCTGTTCGTCAGTATGTTGTTCTCCACTCTTTTGTGAATGTTGTCATTCCATTGGATTACACATAGCATTGATATAAAGGCAAATATTCTAATTATAACGTCGTGTAGTGGACTGTGTTGCTTCGGCCACTACTTCTGAGTTGTTTATTTCGTCACGTCTTACCTCAGGAAATCCCCGACCCCCTTCCCCTCTGACAGGGAAAGTCCCTCGCTGTGAGGAGCATATGTGAACGACTAGGTCAGAAGAATCTCCGGCGCGGTCCTCCTGAAATTATCTAGATATTATCCGGAGTGCATATGTGAAACTGGCTACTGTCTAACCGCCTCACTCGTTGGCTCTATTTCCTGACAGTCCCCGATGTTTTCTGTCTCTGAGCTGCTGTTTGAAAGCTATGCCATATCCCCGGGCTGCTCCTCTCATCGCAGGCGCACACACAAACATGTGTCTGTGCACATGCCTCTCTAGAAATGGGAACATGGAACACATAATTTTTTTTTTTTTTTTGTTTAAAGCCACTGTGAGCGGTTACCATGGGAATCTGTCCAGTCTGAAGGGCCTTCTGCCCAAGTTTGTCGTAAGACCAGAATTTGTATACGAGTGTGTGTGTGTCAGTTGATGAAAGCCCGTTGGAGCCAAGGACAGCAAGACTTCTACGGTTTTGCCAAACCAAGTAAATGGCCTTGTTGTGTGATATACAACATCAGTGCACTCATGAAACAGTCAGTCTTCAAGGGGCCAAATGTGTATACAGACAGACAAACATACACATACGTGGCTAAACAAAGGTTGTACAGATTTAAACAGATTATACTGCAAACACATTCACCATTTTGACCGAAATCTGTCTGACCAGCTGCTGCAGCAACAACAACAACAGAATAATACTATTTTCTTCAGATAGAGTTAACAAATGGTGACATAGCTGCTTGGTGTCATCACGGTCTGTACACATATAGGTGGATGAAACTACAATGAAGAACTTGACTATTTGGCACCAATTGTTTTATGTGGTTTAAATTTGTGCATGTTATCCCCACTAAATC